ACTTCATTGCCGTCTTACTTTAAGAATTGGTATATCCACTCCAATCTTCAGTGACCACCACCCTGAAGTCAGAAGGCATCAACACTGTGCTAAAATCCTTTACCAGCAAAAAATTATGACTTACTGAAAGTTCAGATGATGGTTAGCATTTTTTAACAATAAAGTAATTTTAAATTAAGGTATCTACATTCTTTTAAGACACAATGCTATTGCACACTTAACAGACTATAGTATAGTATAAATATAAATTTTATGTGCACGGGGAAACCAAAAAGTTTTTGTAACTCACTTTATTATGATACTTGCTTTACTCTGATGGTCTGGACCCTGCAGTAAGTCTGAGGTATGCCTGCATATATATATATATGTATATATATATATATGTATGTATATATACTCACATACATATCCATATGTGTAAAGCAAACTGGTACTTCCTTACAAAATATTATTTTAAATGTAAGTGAATTATATTAACCAAATGAAAAATAGAGGTTGGCAAATGGATTATAAAAAAAAAAACAATAATTCAACTGTATGTTGTCTACAAGTGACTCACTTTAAATCAAAAGACAAAAGCTAAAATATGGAAAAAAGCTATTTTGTGCAAATAACATGCAAATAGTAACCAAAAGAGAAATAGGTTTCTTTTTTTTTTTCACTAACTTAGCCAAAATAAACCTTCAAAAAAAAAATGTTACAAGACAAAGAGACAGATGCCATAGATTGATAAATGGGTCAATTTCTTAAGAACACATAAAAAGTATAAAAGTAAAAATACCCAACATCAGAGCCCCCAGAATATATAAAGAAAACATGGACATAATTGAAGAGAAAAATAGACAGTTTTACAATAGGTGGAGACTTCAAAAATCTACTTTCAACGGACAGAACAAGGTGAAAAATCACCAATGCAAAAAGACAGGACTTGAACAACACTATAAACTAACTAGATCTAAAAGACATATAGAAAACACTTCACCAAACAACAGTTGAATCAACATGTTTTTTTCAAGTACACACGGAGCATTCTCCAAGATAATCATCAGTTCAGTTTAGATCAGTTGCTCAGTGGTGTCCAACTCTTTGCAACTGCATGGACAGCAGCATGCCAGGCCTCCCTATCCATCACCAACTCCTGGAGCTTGCTCAAACTCATGTCGTACAAAACGAAGCAGGGCAAAGGTTAACAGAGTTTTGCCAAGAGAATGCACTGGTCAAAGTAAACATCGTCTTCCAACAACATTAAGAGAAGACTCTACACATGGACGTAACCAGACGGTCAACACCAAAATCAGATTGATTATATTCTTTGCAGCCAAAGATGGAGAAGCTCTATACAGTCAGGAAAAACAAGACTGGGAGCTTACTGTGCCTCAGATCATGAACTCCTTATTGCAAAATTCAGAATTAAATTGAAGAAAGTAGGGAAAAACCACTAGATCATTCAGGTATGATTTAAATCATATTCCTACAATAATACAGTGGAAGTGAGAAACAGATTCAAGGGATAAGATCTGAGAGAATGCCTGAAGAACTATGGACAGAGATTCGTGACATTGTACAGGAGGCAGTGATGAAAACCATCTCCAAGAAAAAGAAATGCAAAAAGGCAACATGGTTCTCTGAGGAGGACTTACAAACAGCTGAGAAAACAGGAAAGCCTAAATGCAAAGGAGATAAAGAAAAATACACCCATCTGAACACAGAGTTCCAAAGAATAGCAAGGAGAGACAAGAAAGCCTTCCTAAATAATCAATGTAAAGAAATAGAGGAAAACAATAGAACTGGAAAGACTAGGGATCCCTTCAAGAAAATTAGAGATACCAAGGGAACATTTCATGCAAAGATGGGCACAGTAAAGGACAGTAATGCTATGGCCCTAACAGAAGCAGAAGATATTAAGAAAAGGTGGCAAGAATACAGAAGAACTATACAAAAAAGATCTTCATGACCCAGATAATCACAATGAGAACCAGACATCCTGGAGTCCGAAGTCAAGTGGGCCTTTGGAATCATCTACTATGAACAAAGCTAGTGGAGGTGATGGAATTCCAGCTGAGCTATTTCAAGTACTAAAATATGATACTGTGAAAGTGCTGCACTCAATGTGCCAGCAAACTTGGAAAACTCAGCAGTGGCTAAAGGACTGGTAAAAGCCAGTTTTCATTTGAATCCCAAAGAAAGGCAAAGCCACGGAATGTTCAAACTACCACATAATTGCATTCATTTCACATGCTAGCAAAGTAATGCTCAAAATTCTTCAAGCCAGGCTTCAACAGCACTTGAACCGAGAATGTTCAGATGTTCAAGCTGAATTTAGAAAAGGCAGAGGAACCAGGGATCAAATTGCCAACATCCATTGGATCATAGAAACAGCAAGAAATTCCAGAGAAACATCTACTTCTGCTTTATACACTACACCAAAGCCTTTGACTATGTGGATCATAACAAACTATGGAAAATTCTTAAAAAGAAATGAGAATACCAGAACACCTTACCTGCCTCCTGAGAAAGCTTTATGCAGGTCAAGAAGCAACAGTTAGAACTGGACATGGAACAACAGACTGGTTCCAAATTGGGAAAGGAATATGTAAAGGCTGCATATTGTCACCCTGCTTATTTAACTTATATGCAGAGTACATCATGTGAAATGCCGGGCTGGCTGAAGTACAAGCTGGAATCAAGATTGCTGGGACAAATATCAATAACCTCAGATATGCAGATGATACCATCCTTATGGTAATTAGCAAAGAGGAACGGAAGAGCCTCTTGATGAAAGTGAAAGAAGAGAGTGAAAAAGTTGGCTTAAAACTCAACATTCAGAAAACTAAGATCAGGGCATCTGGTCCCAACACTTCATGGCAAAATGATGGGGAAACAATGGAAACAGTGAGAGACTTTATTTTCTTGGGCTCCAAAGTCACTGCAGGTGGTGACTACAACCGTGAAATTAATAGCTATGATCGACCTAGACAGCATATTAAGAAGCAGAGATAATACTTTGCTGACAAAGGTCCATTTAGTCAAAGATATAGTTTTTCCAGTAGTCATGTATGGATGTGAGAGTTGGACCATAAAGAAAGCTCAGTGCCGAAGAATCGATGCTTTTGAACTGTGGTGTTGGAGAAGACTCTTCAGAGTCCCTTGGACAGCAAGGAAATCAAACCAATCAAATCAAAGGAAATCTGTCCTGAATATTCATTGGAAGGAATGTCGCTGAAGCTGAAACTCCAGTACTTCGGCCACCCGATGCAAAGACCTGACACACTGGAAAAGACCCTGATGCTGGGAAAGATTAAAGGTGGGAGGAGAAGGGGACGACAGAGGATGGGATGGTTGGATGGCATCACTGACTCGATGGACATGAGTTTTAGCAAGCTTCAGGAGTTGGTGCTGGACAGGGAAGCCTGGATGCAGTCCATAAGGTCGCAAAGAGTTGACATGACTCATCGACTGAATTGAACTGATCGTGGTAATGGGGGTTTTTAGCAGTCAAATTTGTAGTAATCTTGTACTAACACACTGAGACTCTACCAAGAATTTTATACTTTGCTAGAAAGCAGAAGTTTACTGAAACCTAAACAATATGCTCTAAGATGTCAAGTGTTCTCTAAGCCTGGAAGCTGAACATGTATCAGAACAATAAGGCAATGATGCTGCTGCAGCTGCTAAGTCGATTCAGTCGTGTCCGACTCTGTGCGACCCCATAGACAGCACCCCACCAAGCTCCTCTGTCCCTGGGATTCTCCAGGCAAAAGTACCAAAGTGGGTTGCCATTTCCTTCTCCAATAAGGCAATTCAGGACTATTAATATATGATGTCAAACTAATTGTAATAGCTGTAAGGACATTCACATCCCTCTCCATGGTGTAAAAAAAAAAAAAATGCCTTGCAAGATGATCACAAATTAAATGTTAAAGAATCAAATGTTTTCCCATTATAAACAACACTACTTGAGATAATGAAAAGTCTACTTCAGGGAGCAGAATAGTCAAAGAATTCCAGTTTAAGAGGTTACTGCTTAATCAAGTGCCATATCAAATTCAGACTAAAGCAGTACTTTGAATTCTTATACTCTGCAATCTAATCCCCCAAACATCATTCTTTTTGTCTTTTATACCTATGATTCTATGATTTAATAAGGTAATTTTTAACTTCAGTCTATCTAGAACATCCTCTACAAACATTATTTTTAAGGCCTTAAGATGAAACATTTCATGTAGCTATCTTTAATTAAAAAAAAAGAAATAAGAAAAAAGACCTACTATATTCAAACATACAATTCAATGATAAAAATTAGTACTATTTTATCAATGTTTAGGTATGGCCTTCCTCTAAATTTAACTTTTATAATTTATATTAATACATTCCTCTACAGACATCTTCATTTATTAAGATCTCAAAACTTGACATGTATGTTAAGAAAAAATTATACAAAGTAAATATGCTTCAAACACATCATTAATAAACTGGAATAATACATCCAAACAGCTAAGAACTCTCTCAAAATTGAAAACCCCTTATTTGAAACTATCAGAAGTTAGCAAACTGACAAGTATTCTTGTGAAAGATGACAATAAAACGAATGTTCTCTTCCATTTCAGATGCTAAAGCAAAACCAAAAGTAACTGCTATGCCTCTGATTACAACAATATCAACCTACATTAATAGAAGAGCTAAGTTTCAAAATGTTCCCTCTTGATACATGACCACTGCAGATATTTCTATGAAACAACTGGGAAATTGAATAAACCAGAAAACACAAATTGGAGAGTGTTTGTTCTGCTGTTTATTTCTTTTCCATTTTATGTTTGTGTGTGTGTGTGTGTGTGTGTTCTACTTTTCTTTTTGGCACCACAGAATATTATTTTTTCTAAAAGTCTTTGTTCCCATAAGACCAATGACAGGATGACATCAGAACATATTTATAATTTTCTATTTTCAAAAAAATATTCTCTCTCACATACTAATACACTTCATATAAGGCTTTGTCTCACCTGGCCAGTTCTTTAATTAAGTTTGCAATGCGTCTTTTGTCTTCAAGACACAAATCCTTCAGTGATGCACTCTTTATTTCTCCCCTGCAGAAACTCTAAAACAAACAAAAATCATTCTGATTAACTTTCACAAAAAACAATTTTCAAGACTTTTCAAGAAATTTCTTAAAATTAGCACAGGAGATGAAATTTCTTGGATCTCTTTTATTTGTTAGAAGACTATCTATTTCATTTAAACCTACTGTGAACTCAAAACAGGTTAAGGAACAGCTGTCCACCAGGGGACATCATGAAATTTACACAGGAAAAGCAGAGAGTAAGAACTCACAGGTACAAATGTGCCTGCTTAAGTATTAGGTAATAATAAGGAAACAACTTTCCCTTGGTGAATGTCACAGAAACAAACACCTAATGGAAGATACTGAGATCCCTTCTGACACCACAGTCCCATGGCTGCTTGAAGGTATACTAAGGCTGGCAGCAGAGAACCAGTTTCTAAGCTCTCAATATATCCCAAGGTTCACTCCAAAGGGTATTAGATCAAAGAGTAACAGTAATACTAGGTAACATTATATCTAGTGTTATTAGGAATATTCTAAGTATTTTATGCTTATTAATACATTTCATTTTCATCATAATGCTACTAGGTAGATATTATTCCTACATATCTTGCCTAGGAATATAGCAGTTAAGTAGCAAAATCGAGATTCAAGCATTGATTCCACAGTCTATGTTCTTACCCACTGTACTATCCTACCTCTTATACTATAAAAAGTTCTTCTAGTACATGAACATCAAAGAGGGGTCTTTAAAGCCATGAAATTTAGGAATTCACAAGGTACCTGCAGGTAACACATAAAAGGAATATGTTTAAAAAAATAATCTTTGGCGTTGGCAGTTATGCAACCACAAAGTAAATCAGTCCAATTACTTCACGTGGCCAAGAATAATCCAAGACCCCTAAAATGAATCCTGGAAGCACTGTTAGCCAAAGATGGGAAAGATAAGGGAGAAAAAGGAAATGGGAAACAAGATATGGTAAAAAAAAAAAAAAATTAAATGAATTTAGTTTTAGATTTTAGATATGGTCAGTTTGAGATGCCAGGAGGACATTCATGAGGAAATGTTTAGGCAGGAAGCTGGAAATGTGGGTCTGGATCTCAAGTCAGAGAAAAACATAAAAATTTAAAATTCAGCCATATGCTGCTATCCATAATGTTTAGATTTTTATTATTTTCTTTATATTTTTCTATGTTTTAAAATTTTCCTTAAAATTAAGAAAAAAATACTAGTTTTTAAAAATCAACTCCTAATCTAAGAAAATAAAACTGGTAACTAAAAAGACAAAAGGAGGATCAGAAGCATACAATATTGTAGGAGAAAAAAGTTTTAAGAAGAATGTGGGGTTAACAGTGGTAATAATAAAAAAACAGAATATTAAAAGGAGTCACTGGATTTGGCAAAGGGAAAAATTGCTGAAAACCCATTAAGAGATTTCAGTAAACAAAAAAGAGAAACTCTTGCAAATAGGCAAGAACTTCAGCAGCATTGTGTTCAGGCAAAAACCTGAAAACACAAATGTTTGTCAACCAGAGTTAAACTGTGGTATGTTTATACAATGGAATTCTGCAGCTACTGATTGTTAGTTGACATTCATCCATCTTCAAACCCACCCTACCCTGCTTTGCTTTGTGAGGCTGAGGCTCTGGAAACCTCAATTCTCCTTTGCCACATCATTCTCTATTATGCTGTGCTTAGTCACTTAGTCATGTCCAGCTCTTTGTGAGCCCATGGACTTACAGCCCGCCAGGCTTTCCAGTCCATGGGAAATCTCCAGGCAAGAATACTGGAGAAGGTTGCCATGCCCTCCTCCAGGGGATCTTGCCAACCCAGGGACTGAACACAGGTCTCCCGCATTGCAGGTGGATTCTTTACCATCTGAGCCACCAGGGGAGCCCGTTCTTGATGAAGCTCTACCAACAGGGAGAAGGAGAGGCTCTGAGAGGAAGAAAGGACACATTCCTTCTTTCCTATTGCTTTCTGTCTCTTTCAGTGTTGGCTCTGCCAGAGATCCTCACCCTGGCAAGAACAACCCATTCCAGTTGGTGATTCTTCCAGGCCTCACAGAACTAGCCTTTGTCATGTCTCCTTGGAGACAGCAATACCCCTTAGGCTAGTTCCCCATCATCAAAGGTCCAAATTTCAGCTCTAAGTGGCCCCTCCTCCAAGTTTCTAGGTTTTAATAATTCCGATTTGTTGTTTTCCCAACTCTAGAGATGGTGGTTGTGTCTTACTGTTATTACCTACATGATAAATTAGCGTGGCCCTTTTTGCCTTTAAGTTCTCCAGCACCAGTTTAACAAATTTTTAAATACTAAACATACTCTCAGTTGAAATAACTGAGTAAACCCTGATTGAAATATCAGTGAAAAGAAACTAAATATGACAACATGCAGCATAAATAAACCTCAGAAACATAATACTGAACAAAAAAAAACAAATCAGACAATAGGATATGAGAACGTTCATAAAAAGTTGGAAATATACTTAAAACTATGGGATTCCCTGGTGGCTGAGAAGAGACCTCCTGCAATGCAGGAGACGTGGGTTCAATCCCTGGATTGGGAAAGATCCCCTGGAAGAGGAAATGGCAACCCACTCCAGTATTCTTGCCTGGAGAATCCCTTGGATGGAGGAGCCTGGTGGGCCACAGTCCATTAGGGTTGCAAGAGGTGGACACAACTTTGTGACTACACCACCACCATTGTTTGAGAAACAAATACGTGTTTACACCATACAGGACAGCAGCTGATAAACTACGAGTGCAAGCTAAATCTGGCTCAGAGTTTATTTTTGGAAAAAAAAGTTTATTAAAACACAGCCATGCACATTCATTTATACACTGACATACATATGGCACTTTCCACACTATCATGGCAGAATTAAATAATTAAGACAGAGGCCATGTGTCTCACAAAGGCTAAACATTTACCATCTGGCCTTTTACAGAAACAGTTTGTCAACCCCTGATAAAGAGAAACAACAGAATGATAAACACAAAATTAGAGATTACCAAATAAGATGCTATGCTATAATAAGGGAAGAATAATACATCTCTCATATATTATCTCAGACTGCAAGGAAGTCTGAGGCTCTTCCCTGTCAATCTTTCTTTCCTTCTCCTCTCACAGATGCCAGACTTGTAGTGAAATCTTAAGTCTCTCCTTGATTTATAATAGTATCATGGCAATTCAATGCAGAAATGAATGGTTCCCTCAATAATCGGTACTGAACCAAAAGACTATCAGTATGAAAAAACGATTTGGAATAAGGTTTGTTACATTTTTAAATCTCTTTACGAGACAACTGAAATAAAAGGAATCCAAACTGAAAAGGCAAATGTAAAACTATCTCTCTTCACAGATGGCATAATCTTGTATATAAGAAGTTGTAAGAAAATCACCAAAAAGCTATTAGATTAGAACTAATAAATGAATTTAGAAAGGTTACAGGATAAAAAATCAACTATGTTTCTAGCAGTCAAAAATCCAAAAATGAAATTAAGAAAACAATTTCATTAATAGTAGCATCACAAAGTATAAAATACTTAAAACTTGAAAATAAATTTGGCATGTACACTGAAATCAACAAAACATCACTGGAAGAAATTAAAGATCTAAATAAATAGACAATTTACACACCATATTCAAGGCCTAGAAGACAATATTATGAAGCTGAGAGTACTCGCCAAATTGATCTAAAGATTTAACACAAGGTAGGAGTAGCAGAGTAGGAGATATAAACTATGGGGTGCAAGGCTCAAGGATGTACTGTACAATACGGGGAATACAGACAATATTTTGTAATAACTGTAAATGGAAAGTAACTTTTAAAGTTGTGCAAAAAATTAAAATAAAAAAAAGACTCCCAATCACTTAATTTATGGAATTAACATATACAGAGTATTATATATAAAACAGATAACCAATAAGGACCTACTGTATAGCACAGGGAACTAGACTCAATATTTTACAATAATCTATGAGGGAAAAAATCTAAAAAGAAAATATATGTATATATATACACACATACATAATTATAAACACGTATATATAAAACTGAATCACTTTGATGTATACCTGAAACTAACATATTGTTGTAAATCAACTGTATTTTTCAACTTTTTTTTAAAAAGATTCAACACAATTGCTACCAAAATCCCAAGTTGACTTTCTGCAGAAACTGGCAAGCTGATTCCATTAATTCCTATGGAAATGCAAAGGACCCATTATAGCCAAAACAACCTTGAAAAAGAAGAACTTGGACTACTTACACTTTCTGATTCTAAGACTTCTGCCAAGCCACAATATATTACAACAGAGTGGTACTGGCATTAAAACAGAAATACAGATCAATGGAATAGAACTGAGATTACAGAAATAAACACTTACATTTACAATTAAAAGATTTTTCAACAAGGGTGGCAAGACAAAGAAAGAATAGTCTTTGCAACAAATGATACTGGGACAAGAGGACATCCACATACAAAAGAATAAAGCTGGGTCACTACCCACACCATCTACAGAATTTAAATCAAAATGGATCAAAACTTAGATGTAATATCTAAAAGTACAAAGCTCTTAGATATTGGTATAAATCTTTGAGAACTTGGTTTAGGTAATGATTTCTTAGACATGACAGCAAAGCACAGGCAATAAAAGAAAAACATTGGTAAGTTGAACTTCATCAAAATTTAAAACATTTAAGCTTCAAAGGACACCAATAAAAAAGTGAAAAAAACAACCCACAGAATGGGAGAAAATATTTGCAAATAATGTATCTGATAAGAGACTCAGAGGTGGAATTTATAAATAACTCTTACAACTCATCAATAAGAAGACAAATATCTCAAATTGAAAAAGATCTGAACAGACATTTCTGTAAAGAACATATACAAATGGCCAAGAAGCACATAAACAGATGATCATTACTGGCCACTGTGTCTGTGTGTGTGTGTGTGTGTGTGTGTGTGTGTGTGTGTGTGTGTGTGTGTGTGTGTGTGTGTGTGTGTGTGTGTGTGTGTGTGTAGTCACTCAGCTGTGTCCAACTCTTTGCAACCCCATGGACTGTAGCTCGCAGCTCGCCAGGCTCCTGTGTCCATGGAATTCTCCAGGCAAGAATACTGGAGTGGGTTGCCATTCCCTTCTCCAGGGGATCTTTCCCACCCAGGGATTGAACCTGGGTCTCATGCATTACAGGTGGATTATTTACCATCTGAGCTACCAGGGAAGTCCACTACTGGCCATTAGGAAAATACAAATCAAAACCATGAGATACCACTTCAAATTTACTACTATTATAAACCAAAAAAATGGATATAAAGCGTTGGTGAGGACGTGGAGAATCTAGAATCCTCATACATTGCTAGTAGAATGTAAAACAGTATAGCTACTTTGGCAGTACATCAAAAGCTTAAACAGAATTACTACATGCCCCAGCAATTCTACTTCTAGATATATACCCAAGAAAATTGAAAACAGAAATCCATACAAAAATCTGTACATGAATGCTGATGGGGCATATTCATATTAGCCAAAAAGTGTAACAATCCAAATGTCCTTCAACTGGTGGTTAAACAAAACATGCACTGAGCCAGAGAAAGGAATGAAGCAATGATTCATGATACAACAGAGATGAACCTTGAAGTGAAAGAAGCCAGTCACAAAAGACCATAAAGTACATTATTTCATTTATATGAAATATTCAGAACAGACAAATATTTAGGGATTAAAAGCAGGTTAGCCGTTGTCAGCAGCTGAGATTAATGGGGAACAGCTTTTGTGAAGTGGATATACTGGGGATATAAGCAACATAACAAGCCTTTTGAGCTAAGTCATGTCCTTGTGACACCATGGACTGCAGTCTGCCAGGCTCCTCTGTTTATGAGATTTTCCAGGCAAGAATAATGGAGTGGGTTGCCAGTTCCTCCTCCAGTGAATCTTCCCAACCCAGGGACTGAACTCACATCTCCTGCATCTCATGCATTGGTTCAATTCAGTTGCTCAGTTGTGTCCGACTCTTTGCGACCCCACGAATTGCAGCATGCCAGGCCTCCCTGTCCATTATCAACTCCTGGAGTTTACCCAAACTCATGTCCATCAAGTCGGTGACGCCATTCAGCCATCTCATCCTCTGTCGTCCCCTTCTCCTCCTGCCCCCAATCCCTCCCAGCATCAGGGTCTTTTCCAATGAGTCAGCTCTTTGCATCAGGTGGCCGAAGTATTGGAGCTTCAGCTTCAGCATCAGTCCTTCCAGTGAACACCCAGGACTGATCTCCTTTAGGATGGACTGGTTGGATCTCCTTGCAGCCCAAGGGACTCTCAAGAGTCTTCTCCAACATCACAGTTCAAAATTGGTAGGCAGTTTCTTTATCCACTGAGCCACCTGGGAAGCCCATGCAAGATTTGAGCTAATCACAGTTAAATCCTGTAGATAACTAAACGTGATAAGTTGACCCAACGTGTTAAGTTGATCCTTAACAACGTGAGTCTGAACTGCACAGGTCTACTTATAAGCAGATTTTTTTCAATAAATACACTGGAAAACTTGCTGGATATTTAAGACAATTTGAAAAAACTTGCAAATGAACCACACACCCTAAAGAAATATATAAAAATAAATTAAGGAAAAAGTTAGGCGTGTCATGAATGTGTAAAATACATGTGTGTGTATATGTATATATATATATATATATGTATATAACACTCAAAATATGTGTAAACTATGTTATCAGCAAAGCTTTCATTCAACAGTAAGTTACTAGAGAAGTTTTGGAGGAGTCAAAAATTATATGCAGATATTTGACTGCATGGGGTTCAACACCCCTAACACCTGTGTTGTTCAAGGGTCAAGAGTAACAAGTAACAAAACTAGACACTGAACATTTCCTCAAGAACATAAACCAGGTATTGAAAAACTTTTTTTTTTTGAAAAACATTTTTTTATAAAGAGTTCAATAGTAAATGATTTTGGCTTTGTAGGCATACATCTTTACAGCACCTCTGACACTGTAATACGAAAGCACCAGTAAGATGACATTAAAAGAATGTTAAGAGAAAGGCTGTGTTCCAGTAACACTTGACTCACAAAACAGGGAAAAGCAGATGCCTGCAACTCATAGACTGTCAAACCCTGACTTAACCCCCAGATGAGGAGACAAAATATAAAGTAAAATAACAGGGAAGGAAATGGCAATCTACTCGTATATTCTTGGCTGGAGAATCCCATGGACACAGGAGCCTGGCAGGCTACAGTCTATAGGGTTGCAAAGAGTCGGACACGACTGAAGTGACTTAGAATACATGCAAAGTAAAATAAACGAACTAGACAGGGCACGAACCAAAGGAATGTAGAGACACTGTTAGAGAGGCAAAGACAGACAAGGGAGAAATAAATGACTGAGTGATAAAAATAAAGTCTTCATGATAGTATTTGACAAGTGAAGGAAATAATAATAATATAGGCTAATTTTAACAAAGCATTTTCTTATATGCAAAGGATTATTTATCAACTAACATTTACATGAACAAAAATCATAAAGAAAACCTAATAAAATTTAAAAAACTGCTGTCAATTTGATTTACTAATACCACACAGATCAGGATGTAAGTTTTCTGAAACTTATGAAAACAATAAACATTTCTTAACTAAGGCTTAAAGTAAGCCTGGACAATCTGTAACAAAACTTTGAATAATATATATACTTTATATTCATACTAAATATTAATAAAGCATCCCTGAATCCTCTGTATCTTTTCAAAATACTTGTAGATCATCTAATGTACTTTCAAGGACTCTTCCACACTGACCTATCAGTTATTGGCCAGCACAGAAAAATGACTCATTGGCCAGTGTTTATAAAGACTGGAGAAAAAGGAAAAAAAAAATCCAGAAAAAAAGAGATTACTGACCTGTTCATCAACTGAATCTCCTGCACCTTTTAAAGACTCCATGGAGACTGAAGTAGCAGTCACCCTGGAGGTCTTGACTTTAACATCAGCTTTTGGATTCAGCATCTTGTGTCTTGACCTGATATTTCCTTCTGTAGAAATTCCTAAGGATTTCCATCAAAACAAGATTTCAAAATTATATCTTTTCATTCTTTTAAACCCTCCCCCTAGCAACCTTTTCCTTGATACCCTCTACTTTATGGCACGTGATGGGCAAATCTCTTTATAAACTTAATTTTAAGGTTCTGGTACTAAATAACAAGTCATGAAAAGACTGTGTTGTGAATGCACTAGAGATTCAACTGAAATATTTTTTAAAGGGGATGTGAACATTTGTAAATCACATTAAAACCAATAAACTACAACATGCCATATGTACCTTAACTTATTGGAAACTAAAAATCTGAATTTTCACATAATTAGATGTACCGCCAATGGTTCAGTTTTACAACTCATCTCATAACAACCAGTAAACTTTAAAGTCTGTTACATAAACCCTACATCACGAAGTTTATACATTTTCTTTGAAATATAAAATTTAGACTATTATTTGAACATGAAAAGTAACAAAAGAATCTGCTAATCCATGAACGAAGTATTCTATAAATTCATCAAAAGCTGACTTGCCAGCCAGGCCCTAAAATAAGGCAATATTTCAAATCTTAGTGGGGTCACACCAAATATTAAAAAAAGAAAAAAAAACTAGGTTCTGATGAACTGTTCTGCATCTACTTATACCTACAAAGTTGTCCTAATGTTTTATTTTCTTCTAACTCTTAAGAAGCAAAGAAGTTTACCAAATTAATATAGAAAATCATACCTGGAACATACACTACTGATTGTTCTTCATCAGAAACTATGCAGGAAGACATAAAGGAAAATACTAGAAAATATTATCCAACATCCAAATGCTGTTGTTCTGCACTTCTGCTGCAATTTGCAATCTTTTGAGCTAGAAGTTTGTAACTAGCTTTTAAAAACCAAACTAGGAAGTAATGTAATTAAAATAAATGTAGCAAAATTAATAATCTTTTAAAGTTCATCTTTATATATTCACAACTATCTGCTTTGTAAAAATGCTGGAATGCCTTGTTCCATTAAAGTTTTATCCATGCTTATTCCCAAATGACATACCCAGCACTATAAATTCTGCTGTAGTTTCCTTTCATTTTCTTTCCTTTTGTAAACAAGGAGTTAAATGTTCCATCGTGCTCATCTTTGGTGAACTGACAAGTTATCTGAGGCATGAATACGTAATTTCAAAATGAGTTTTAGCTTTGAAGAACAAATACTGTTTAAGGGCAGCTCAATTATGCAAACACAAAAATATTTTTTATTCTTCCACAGTACATTCATGAAATGTCTCAAGAAGCCCTACTATTTAACAAGTGGAAGAAATTTAAGACAAAAAGAACTCTTTCGAATTTCAAAAGGAGAAATTTTGAAAGGGTGAAAGTGGAAGTCGCTCAGTCGTGTCTAGCTCTTTGCGACCCCATGGACTATACAGTCTATGAAATTCTTCAGGCCAGAATACTGGAGTGGGTAGCTATTCCCTTCTCCAGGGGATCTTCCCAACCCAGGGATCGAACCCAGGTCTCCTGCAATGCAGGCAGATTCTTTACCAGCTGAGCCGAACACTGATATAGAAAGGGAACCAATATAATAAAGTTTACTTTTCATAAATAAAATGTTATTCAGAACTAGATTTAAATCCAGGTATGCCTACCATTTGATAACCTTCTGTTACATATACAGGAAGCAGGTGTCTAAACAATTATTTTTCAAATGACATAGAAAAGTCCGAAGTTTTGTGTTACTTTATGAAATACTGTGTTTTCCAAAATTTGTAGACAAATCAAATATTAACTATTTCCTCCTGGAAGCAGACAGGAATAAAACAGTGGATAAAACATGTTAGAAAGCCAATATATTTCAGTTTAGAACCAATTCTAGAAATGGAATCTTTTCAAGGAATGTTGACTGGAAATGCCTAGAATCCCGAAGGAAATTAAGGAACACAGTGGTGGTGCTTACTGTCTGACCTGCTAGGTGGTTCAGAACTCCTCAGCAGCATATGCACTGTCATAGCTTCAAGACTTTGGCTGGTAACTAGTGCCTCTAAAAACTTTAAACTTCCTCAGACATCAGGGATGAGCATAGAAAATTTCAGGAGGCATATAAGACAAGTAAACAAACAAAAAATTAGACCTACTAGTCCAAGGAAATTGACTGTAACTAATACTGACTGGAGTGAGCATTTCTAAATTCATTGACACCCAAATCCAAAACAAAAGCTTTACAAGCTAAAATTGTGCAGACTCTTTAGCAGCAGATTCATTTTTTACATCCTCTGGGACTCCTCAGTTACTGTTTAATTATTTGCTGTTGGAAATACACACATGGGAAAAAGTATAGAGGGGAAAAATTTCAAGATGACTCAGGACATGCTCCATATGACAGAGTCCTCAGTTAAAATATAAAATAGGGATGAATTTGCAGAATATTCTCCATCTCCAAGGATGACCTATGGAAAGACTGACATAACTGAGTCCTGGAAAACATACTACACTTCTCTAGATCATCCACAAAGGAGTCTACTCGACTCAGAAGCTCATCAAATATTTTATACTTTCTCTTCCCTCCTCAAACCTGATACCATTTCCCCCATCTTTACTCTAAGCTAATAACTTTGCTTCCTATTTCTTTAAGAAAAACTAACTATAGAAGCCTTTGACAAACATGCATTTGCAGATGGCATGATATTACATATAGAAAACACTAAAGATTTTACTGAAAAACTGTTAGAATAATCACATTCAGATGGCTGATAAACAGAAGTTGCAGAATACAAAATCAATAAATAAAAATCTATACAAGAATAACCAGCAGGAAGACAAATTAGGAGGAAAAGAATCCAATTTAAAATTGCATCAAAAAAAGAGTAAAAAAATCTAGAAAATTTAACAAAAGAGGTAAGAGACCTGTACGCTGAAAAGTATAAGACACTGACGAAAGAAACTGAAGAAAAATGAAAGAAATTCATGCTCATGAATTAAAAGAATATTGCTAAAATGTCCATAAAGCAATCTACAGATTCAAAGCAAAATTCCAAAGTCATTTTTCACAGAAATATTGTAAAATAAGCAATCCTAAAATTTGGATGGAACCACAAAAGACCTTAATTAGTCAGAGCAATCTTGAGAAAGAAGAACAAAGCTGGAGGCATCACAATTCCTGGTTTCAAAACACTACAAAGCAACAGTTATCAAAACACAAAAGACCCCCATGACATTAACAGCTACCCTCTTCCTGCTTTATTCTTCTCCATAGCACCCATAATCATATAATATTATTTTACTTATTCATGAACTAATTTCATTTCACTAACATGTAAGCACGAAGCCAGTGAAAATCTGCATTGTTTTGTTCAATGTTGTATCTCTAAGATCAAAGAATGCCTGGATCATAGCAAACCATCTAGGAACGAATTAAACTGGTATTTCTTTAATCCCATGAGGCACTGTCCAACAACTCTCAATGCTGTCTCTTTGTCCTATTCAAAATATGCACACAAACCCCACTAGTTACACCCACACCAAATTTCTTTTTCAAATATAAGACCACTAAATAAACTGACCTTAACAAAAGTTTTTATAAATAGGACAAAATATTTGAAATTGCCTCCATTCAACCTATACTTTCTGTTTGTAATCTATCTTCACCTCATTATTTTTGAGAACCCAAATATTTACCTTTTTCAAATACCAATTCCCAACAAATGTATATTTCATGGGAAAGTTAAAGAGACACAATTTGGACCTCTTGTCGTGTTCTCTGTGTCACCTTAGTTCCATTTGGTTCATCTGGAAGTGCCTCAATAGGATAAGTACAGTAAGTTATACAGAGTCTTTAATGCCCAAGTTTCCGAAATTAAAGTGCAAAGCAGAAACCCAAGCCAGAAGTGGTAGGGAGAAATAAATATACCTATTCTAGAGCAACAGGATGTGAAGAAAATAAACTTGGTACTTCCCATTCTGCGATAACCTTGTGAGTATGAATCACTTATCAGCAATATGTGTATCATCGTTACTAACCATAATGATTTTCCTTACATATGTGGTTTTTCCAGCAGTCATGTATGGATGTAAGAGTTGTACTATAAAGAAAGCTGAGTGCTGAAGAATTGATGCTTTTGAACTGTGGTGTTGGAGAAGACTCTTGAGAGTCCTTTGGACAGCAAGGAGATCCAACCAGTCCATCCTAAAGGAAATCAGTCCTGAATACTCTTTGGAAGGACTGATGCTGAAGCTGAAACTCCAATACTTTGGCCACCTGATGCGAAGAGCTGACTCATTTGAAAAGACCATGATGCTGGGAAAGATTGAAGGCGGAAGGAGAAAGGGATGACAGAGGATGAGATGGTTGGATGACATCACCAATTCAATGGACATGAGTTTGAGTAAACTCCGGGAGTTGGTGACAGACAGGGAAGCCTGGCGTGCTACAGTCCATGGGGTCGCAAAGAGTCGGACACAATTGAGCAACTGAACTGATATTATTTTAACATCAACATAAAGTCTCTATTTAATTGAAAACTCATGGCAGAGATTATAGCTACTGCAATGCTTTGACCAGGTCCTGTATAGTTCGTATTTGTTAATATCAAGTTCATAATACTGCTAAAGATAATACACTTAAGTGCACTTTAGCAATCAAATTTAGATACTGCATAAATACTAATTTCTTTTGATATTACCAAGGGCTATAATGAAGAAGGAAAGCAGTTTATGGCCAAAGTGGGTATATTTCACTTGTAGATTTAAGCCATAAAATGACAACATGGCATATCACTGTTTACACATTGGGTATAAAGAAATACCTTGTGCAAAACAGCACTGCTGAATCATACTGTGCAAGAGATACACAACTCATAAAAACAACAGTATGAAAAGGTGACCTTCAGTCAGAGATGACCTGTCCTCACATGACAGAAACATCTAGGAATGGGAAATCTCTCAATCATACTTCTCCAATTGTTTAGGTGAGGCACTGAAAATCTCTGAATAGTGTGAAAAGAATACCAGATTACAGGTATATACTTTTTGGTGTTTTTCTATTGAAATTTCTTACTATTAGAACTTCAGAGGTGGTCTGGGAAGTCATCAGTGTAATGAGAAAAGAGATCAAGATCAAAAGACATTCCAATAAAAATTTTTTTACAGAAAGATCAAAAGACACATGACTAAATCAAATGATTCATAATTATGTTTTTTAGCAAAGATTAAGTAACAAATTCATATATGACATTGCTTTTAAGTCCTACAGAGATTTAACATGAAAATATTTAAGGCTGGATATTAATTGGTCATTACGTGGAATAGGGAGGGGAAACAGGTGATACTGGTAACCTTGAAATTCCTTTCAAACATCTGAATTTCTACAGAACGTAATCACCACCATTTTCCCCAAATAACTTCAACTCCTCACTTTCACTGCAAAGATGAATATTTTACGTTAATTTTTAGAGTCAGGGAGAATGTAAGAGAAAAGGAAGGCTATATGACATCTATATGAAATATGGAGTAATATGATTACATAAATGAGTACAAGGCTGCTAAGACCAAGAGCATAGATTCTATTTACACACCTATTAACTTAATCGTACCCACTGCAACAGACTGTCTCCCCTATCCACACCCCACTTACATTCTACTATATATCAGAACAATATCCTTATACATTTCGTATCAGCACAATAGCATTGGTTATACATAAAGTTAAGGAATAATAACGAAAGCCACATAGATGGTTATGAAAATGATTACACTGAAGAAGCACACTGTAAGTTAATAATCTTCATATATCTCTAACAGAAAATTCTAACATTGCAGAGGCAATGTTTCACAAGAAAGACTCATCCCAATTTCCTTACTTCTAATTCAGTCCAGTTGCTCCCGATGCACATATTCTCCTGACAGGTAAAGAAAAAAAATATTTAATTTTCACAGTGTATCAGTGTGCTTTTTATCCACAGTGTAGGATCACGATTTCACTTGATGCTCACCAACCTCTCATACACAAATGGTAATAATGCTTAGAAAGTCCATAACACCAAACGCTCAGCAGCAAGAAATGCAAAAATACCCCACTCTTCAAGGAGTGACACTTTAATCTTAGTAATCCAACAAGGGGAATTGATCATGTAACTTCTTAAGTTTTACTGACTAGCTACGTAGAACCTGCAAAGAACGATTCAGAAGTTAACAGCAATGCCTGTAACAATGCTATGGCCAATTCTAGCAAACAGACAAAAAGGCTTGCCTCCATGGGTGTCCAACCCACTGAATGCCCTCCTTTCAGGTAACTCTCCTGGAACATGAAGCAAGTTACCAGGGCCAACGATCCATCTGGAATAGTGTACCTAACGCAGGGAAAAGAACCGGTTTTGTCACACATCTCATTACTCCAAGGGTAAAAGCGCCACCGCTTCTCTACCATAAAACTATCGAAGAACTGATTCAATTCTGCTAGCGGCGATCCGCAACCTACAGACAAATCAACTCCCAGGCCCTAAAATCTGCATCGCGTCTGATTCCATCATCAGCATCACCAGATCACGTCCGGGCGAAACCAAGTCCCACAATTCTCTGAAGATCTAAGTATGAAAATACATCGTCACTGCCAGGCTTTAGAAGTCCGACGAGGTCCTGACTTGCTCCTAATAGCGCAGGCCAGGGATACTCCTAAACCAAGACGAAAAGATCCTGGACCAAACAGCACCATGCCCTCCTCCAGAAGCTCACTCCGCACAGACCCGGCCGGCCGGAGGTCGCCTCAGGCGGAGGGCCCCTTCCAGCCCCCGACTCTAGGCCGTCTTTCCGGAGCTCACCGCCAAGGAGGGCAGGGAAACAGCGTGGGTCGAGTGCCCACGTCTAGAACTCCAGCCTGGAGAAACAGTGCAGGCTCTCTGCCACCTAATACCCAAGCAAGGGGACTGCCCGGCGGCCCGACAGCACAGCCCCGCCCCCGGGGTCCGCAGCGAACCTCTCCCCCCCGCTTCGAGCCCCTCGCGACCGTTCGCCCCGGGGAAGGCGCCGGCGCCCCCTGTCAGGCGGGCAAAGGATACAGTCCCGGCTCCAGAACGCCGCCGCGCCCGGGCGGGAGGGGCCCGCCACGTCCGCCATCTTGAAACAACCGCCACTCGGGGCGTCGCGCCGGGGCCGCCCCGCCCCGGCCCCCAGGCCCGGTCCGGATTGGCCACACGACATAGAGGCCCGCCCCCGCTTGCGCGGCCGGCCCCGGCGGGGCGGGACGGTCCGGCCGGAGGGGTCGCTGGGTCCCGGCGGCGTGGCGTGGAGCACCCGCCGGGGCAGCGGGAACAAGCTCCTCGGGGGGCTACTACCGCCCGAGCAGCCCGGGCCCCTCATCTCCGCCCCGCAGCCCTCTCAGGCGCCGAGCACTACAAGTCCCGGCATGCCGCGAACTTGACGGCCGCGCCTCCCGGGCGGTGTCCGGCCCTCCGGCCCGCCCCGCTCCCCCGCCCGGTCCCCTCCCCTTCCCCGGCTGCACGCGGAGCCGGGACGCGAGACATGGAGGAGACGCCGCCCCCGCTGCTGGGCAGCAGCAAGCCGCACCTGGAGAAGCTGACCTTGGGGGTCACTCGCATCCTAGGTGAGTGGGGCGGGGGGGGGGGGCGGGGGGGCGACTGCGGGACGAAGGGTGTGCCACGGAGGCGCGGCGGGAGCTGTACTCTCTAGGCCAGTGGACATCGCGGCTGTTAAGTCCCGTTGTTTAGAAGGTGCGTTGACTGGGCCACGGAAGCGTTTGCCGGGAGTGTGGATGCAGAGACGCGAAGCCCGAAGGTCACCCCATCTCAAATCCCACCACAGGGCCCAGGAAGGATGCGGGAATAGATGTGCTAAGGGGAAACAGCAGGCCCCTGACAGTGGGAGGCTGGCTGTCCTGAGAGGCCTTCTTGGCCTCAGGTAGCAAGAGAGAGGTGGGGAAATGTTGCAGCTGACCTCCCAGGGCAGCCGGTTCCCATGTGCCTCCGTGTGAATGGCACCTGAATTGGTCCAGAGAAGTGAAGGTTTGCACCGTTGAATGGGTGGTTTTCTTTTATGGAACCTTTCTTTACTACCTACTACTACGTTAAATACTAGAGCTACTCTACAATGAAATGAGACACACACACAGTTCAGTCATTCGTTATTACTCAGAGGTAGCACACAGAAGGAGGCGATTCATATTATCTGGAGATAATATGTCCCACAGGAGATGATGCTGATTTTGAAAGACAAGTGGAAGTTAGCCAGATAACCGAGGAGGAGAAAGGCAGTCTAAGCAAGCCAAATAGTACATTTCAATACCTTCCTTTGGCATTCATAATAAAATCTAGATTTTGTGTCATGACCCACCAGTCTCCTATAATTTATGCTCAGCTGTCTTTCTGACTACTTTCACTCTGCTTTTGTCACAGTCACCTCCTTGTTGTACCATAAACCCACTAAGCTTGTTCCAATGTCAAGGCTTTTGCAATTTGCTAGACCTTACATCTGAAATTCTCTTCCTCTGAATGTCTTTCTCTGACTTCATTCAGATCTCTGATTAAATATCACAACCTTGGAGAAGCCTTCCCTGAATACAGTTCCAGTAACACCGTTCCCTATCACTGTCTTCCTTTATCCTACTTTTTTTTAATCCTCATTGCCTTGCCACTATTTGAAATTATGTATTTATTTGTTTGTTTTAATTTGTCTCTTTTCTGTAGTTGAAGTCAATGAGATTAGGAACTTTGTATTATTCTTCCCTATATTCCTCGGTTGGATGGCATCACCGACTCAATGGACATGAGTTTGGGTAAACTCCGGGAGTTGGTGATGGACAGGGAGGCCTGGCATGCTGCGGTTCATGGGGTCACAAAGAGTGGGACACAACTGAGCGACTGAACTGATATTCCTCGGTGCCTAAAACAGTAAATGAGGTATGAAACATCCTGATGTGTTTGGGAGAAGCGGTAAGTTTTAGAAAGGAAATTAGAGTGTAGGGCAAAGAGAGAGCTAATCACCGAGACCACTCATACCTTATCTCCTTATTCTTACCCAGACTTCTGCCCTATTGCTTCTTGTACTTCTGGACGTAGGCAGGTCTTGCTGTACCACAGACACACTTCATTTTTGTTGTTCTGTCACTTAGTCATGTCCGACTCTTTGTGACCCCACAGTCTGCAGCATTCCAGGCTCCCTGTCCTTCACTGTCTTCCAGAGTTTGCTCAGACTCCTGTCCATTGAGATGATGACGTTATCCAACCATCTCATCCTCTCTCGCCCTTCTCCTCCTGCCCTCAATCTTTCCCAGCATTCAGTCTCTTTGCATCAGGTGGCCAACGTGTTGGAGCTTCAACTTCATTAGTATCTTTATAAATCTAGAAAATTTTCTCTAATTAAGAAATTATTTTCTTTTAATAAATGTTTAATTACTCAAATCAAGCTAACTAAATACCCCTTAAACTGTCAGTTTGATTTAAAGGCCTAAATAATTAAATGTCTATAAACATTTTAAATTTCATTGATGCATTTAATATATTCTATTACGTATTTCAGATGTCTGGCAAACTGCTAACAGTTACAAGTTAAAACCTACCTAAGGAATTAAACAACTCTGGTAATTAAATTTATAGGAAATCTAGCCTCCTGCAAGCAGTCTATTTATAAATGTAGTCAAAACCTAATAATTTCGAGTTAGTAATCACAAGTCGAAAATCATTTGCAGACATACCTCAGAGATGTTGGGAATTAGGATCTAGACCACTGCAGTAAAGTGAATATCCTAATAAAGTGAGTCTCACAAATTTTTGGTTTCCACTGTGTATAAAAGTTATGTTTACACTCTATTAAGTGTGCAATAGCATTATGTCTAAAAAATGTACATATCTTAACTTTAAAATACTTTATTGCTGAAAAACACTAACCATTATCTAACAATGCAAGGTTGCCACAAATCTTCAATTTGTAAAATAAAAAAAAGGAAAAAGGCAATATTTGAGAAGCACAATAAAGCCAAGCATGGTAGAACGAGCATGCCTGTATGTTTTCACATTTCTTTCTTGTTTGAAAAGACAATATATTAAGAGGATTTTTTAAAGCAAAGCAGCTGAAGTCAGTGGTGGGTATATGGTAAGCAGCCTCCCAAAAATCTCCTTCCAAAAGTATATGCAATAACTCTGCAACTACATTTTTATCCAAAACCAAACTGTCAGTGTTGCTTAAAGACAGAGAATACCAAATGTGCAAAGTAACAGAGTAAAAAGAGAAAAAGCAACAAACCATAGGACCAGACCATAATTTTTCCTGCCCCACTCTCTCACCATCAGAAGAATCCATGGCAAGCAAACAGACCCAGAAATGATTCTAGCCAAAGAGGCTAGCTGGAACAACCAACAGAAATGAGAAACTAGTGTCACTAACCTAGAAATCTTTTTAAATGACACCCTATTGCAAAATGGAGGAGAGAAAAGTAAAACCTATAGAGAACTAATGCTGGAATCAGGAAATAAAATGTCAAACAGACAATTGAGGAAGACTCTTCCCAAAAAAGAACTGAAGTAGAAGAAAATTTTAAACTCCAAACAAAATCAAAATACATGAACAAGTATAGAAAATTCTGTGAAAGAACATGTGAGCCCAGGATTTAATATCTATCCAAACTGTCTATCGAATAAAAGAACTTAGGAAATTCTCCACCCATGAACCCATCCTGAGGAATCTACTAGAGGACAGATTTTATCAAATCAAATATAGATTGGGGAACCTTCCGCAAAAAGACTTCTGCTGAGCATTATTTTCATATAGACTAATACAAACATACATAAATACATGCACATAAGACTAAACCAAAAGTGGGAGGAGAATTTAAGAATGATGTACCAGTTATTTTCTGTTTTGACAAAAGGATGTTTTAAAGGATGTAACTATAGGGTAACTAGTGGGCAGATTTCTAAGATGACCTCCAGTTCTCAGTTCAGTTCACTTCAGTCGCTCAGTCATGTCCGACTCTGCAATCCCATGAACTGCAGCCCTACAGGCCTCCCTGTCCATCACCAACTCCCAGAGTTTACTCAAACGTATGTCCATTGATTTGGTAATGCCATCCAACCATCTCATCCTCTGTCATCCTCTTCTCCTCCCACCTTCAGTCTTTCCTAGGATTAGGGTCTTTTCAAATGAGTCAGTTCATCCCATCAGGTGGCCAAAGTATGGGGAGTTTCAGCTTCAGCATCAGTCCTTCCAATGAATATTCAGGACTGATTTTATTTACAATTGACTGGTTGGATCTCCTTGCTGTCCAAGGGACTCTCAAGAGTCTTCTCCAACACCACCATTCAAAAGCATCAATTCTTCGGTGCTCAGCTATCTTTATAGTCCAACTCGCACATGCATACATGCCTACTGGAAAAACCAAAGCTTTGACTAGATGGACCTTTGTTGGCAAAGTAATGTCTCTGCTTTTTCAAATGCTGTCTAGGTTGGTCATAATTTTTCATCCAAGGAGCAAGCGTCTTAATTTCATGGCTGCAGTCACCATCTGCAGTGATTTTGGAGCCCAAAAAAAGAAAGTCTCTCATTGTTTCCATTGTTTCCCCATCTATTTGCTATTAAGTGATGAAACCAGATGCCGTGATCTTAGTTTTCTGAATGTTGAGTTTTAAGCCAACTTTTTCACTCTCCTCTTTAATCAAGAGACTCGTCAGTTTATCTTCAGTTTCTGCCATAAAGGTGGTGTCATCTGCATCATCTGAGGTTATTGATATTTCTCCCAGCAATCTTAATTCCAGCTTGTGCTTCATCCAGCCCAGCATTTCTCACGCTGTACTCTGCATATAAGTTAAATAAACAGGGTGACAATATACAGCCTTGACCTACTCCTTTCCCTATTTGGAACCAATCTATTGTTCCATGTCTGGTTCTAAATGTTGCTTCCTGACTTGCATACCTATTTCTCAGGAGGCAGGTCAGGTGGTCTGGCATTCCCATTTCTTGAAGAATTTTTCCACATTTTGTTGTGATCACACAGTCAACGGGTTTGGCATAGTCAATAAAGCAGAAGTAGATGTTTTTCTGGAACTGTTGCTTCTCTCAATGATCAACAGATATTGGCAATTTGATCTCTGGTTCCTCTGCCTTTTCTAAAACCAGCTTGAACATCTGGAAGTTCACAGTTCACATACTGTTAAAGCCTTGCTTAAAGAAATTTGAGCACTACTTTGCTAGCATGTGAGATGAATGCAATTGTGTGGTAGTTTGAGCATTCTTTGGCATTGCCTTTCTTTGGGATTTGAATGAAAACTGACCTTTTCCAGTCCTGTGGCCACTGCTGAGTTTTCCAAATTTGCTGGCATATTGAGTGCAGCACTTTCACAGTATCATCTTTTAGTACTTGAAATAGCTTAGCTGGAATTCCATCACCTCCACTAGCTTTGTTCATAGAGATGCTTCCTAAGGCCCACTTGACTTCGCATTCCAAGATGTCTGGCTCTAGGTGAGTGACCACACCATCATGATTATCTGGGTCGTAAAGATCTTTTTTTATAGTTCTGTGTATTCTTGCCACCTCTTCTTAATATCTTCTGCTTCTGTTAGGTCCATCCCATTTCTGTCCTTTAATGAGCCCAT